CACAAAAAGAAGAAGAGAACAACAACTGACTACCCTTGCTGGATGTAATGGTGGAACATAAGAACAACGGGGAACTCCAGACTAGTGTACACAGAAAGACAACACATACGGACTAGATACTTAATAACACCAGCAACCACCCCAACACCCATGAACGGAGCTCCATCAGAAGAATATTCAAACGATCCACAACACATTGCAGCAACTGTAATTGCGCAAAGCAGAACAGGAGCATGTATACCGAGCTTTTAAAAGGAATGGATACGCAAAAAACACAATCCACCATTACCTCTACAACAGACCACAACAAGAAGACACAACATGGCCAGACACACTAGTCAACCTGCCGTGCATCAGGGACATATCAGAGATGTCCACAAGACTGCTCAGACCTCTAGGTATCAGGGTAGCCCACTAACCAACAATTACCCTGTGACAGCTACTGATGAATGTAAAGGACCCCATACCCACAACCAATAAAACTAATGTCATATACAAACTACCATGCAAGGACTGTGAGAAACATTACATATGCCAAACTGGAAGAAAACTGGCAATAAGGATATACAAACACCAACTAGCCACCAAGAGACATGACCAATTCTCACTGGTCTCAATACACATGGAAAAAGGAGGTCACAAATTTGACCGGGACAACGCATCCATACTAGCACAAGCCAAACAGAGACATGCCAGGGAATTCCTGGAGTCCTGGCATTCCAACTGGAACTCCGTCAACAAACACATTGAACTGGACCCAATATAGAAACCACTGAAGAACAAAACCGGAAGTAATACAAACCACCCCAGCAAACTGAGGGATATAAAGCAGGACGGAACACCAACGCTTCACCGGAGACGCACTGACGATGTTACCTAGCAGGGTGACGAAACGTCTGCAATCAAACACATCATCTTGGCAAGCAAGTCTGCAACCTCATCCACAACACGAACTACAAATTTTCTCAAAAATGTATCCACGTTGCCAACACCTGAATCACCAGTGGTTAATTTTAGCAGTACTCACAGATATACCAATCCAGATTTATTCAGTACTTAACACTGACACTACAGTGTTGTATTGTCAGAAGTGTCTTCTTTAGATGAGACACTGAAAAGAAGTTCTGGTGTTAGTCCTAACAATATAGGCCCATTTTCAAAATCCTATGTTCCTACTTGAACAAATTCAGTGAACTTTCCTAATTCCCAGTACAACTTGCTCTTTTAAAACAAAAACTCTATTAAAATTGCATTAACTGACTATTAATATTCTGAGAGGGTAAGGGATATTTCTAGGCAATCTAGAACCAGGAGGCACTATTTTAGAACAGAACAGAATAGCATAGAATAGAATAGAAAATCCTTTATTTTCACCTGTACTCAAGTACAGAAATACATAAGTACAGTGAAAAGTTTTACAATGTTGCCTCTTATGGCTCCGTTTTAGGTACAAAGTACCTAGGTACAAATCTTAGATACAAAAAGAAGAATAAAAAAGAAAAGTAGTTCCATTACTTTACAGTGATTCATTGAATAAGTTAGAAATATGACTCGGTTAAAGGGATAAACATTACAGTGAGATAAACAATTTACAAATAAACATTACATTGCAGTAGCTCAGCACAGGGCCTTCCACACAAGGTCTGACCACCTGCACCAGATCCCAGTTCAACAACCATCCGCGCTCCGATTCAAGCCTCCAGTCCTCACCTCACTGGCTCTCATCTGCTCCAAGGTAAATTTCCTCCGGCACCTGTTTCCCCGCACTGGCCTCCGCTCTGGGACTTGATTGCCCACGCCGGTGTCTGTTCTGGGAATCGATTCCCCATGCCGGCCTCCGCTCCGGGATTGCTTCCCTATGCCGGCCTCTGCTCTGTGATTTGTCACCGGGGCTTGCCAGCTCCTCCAATCCCCTTCGGGTATGTCCAAGTCAAGAACTGAAATAAAAACAGAAAAGGAGGAATAAAGGGAGGACAAAAAAGAAAAGGAACGGGCAGAACGGAGGAGCTCCAGCTGGAGTGTTCTGCCACCATCTTGCTAATGTGTTCTGAAACTTAAGACAAGGAAGAGGAGGAATTTACTTCCTCTGAGGGTTGTTAGTATTTGGAATTCTTATCAAATGAGAACAGTGGAATCTGGGTCATTAAATATATTCAAGGCTCAGTTTGAAAGATCATTGATCAACAAGGGAGTCAGGGGTTATGAGGTACAGACAAGTAATTACTGTTGATACCTCAGATTAGCCATGATCTTATTGAATGGTGCTGGAGACTCAATGAGTTGAATGAACTAATCTTATATGTTGCAACAGTAATATAAATCCTACTTCTAGAACCACAATGTATTTTGTGCTTATAAACACCATTTCCGTGCATACGGGAGCTGATCTGGTTGTGTGACATCACACAAGTGGTGAAGATGAAGATTTGGGTCTGATCTCTTGAATGGGCTTAGCCATGGCCTTTCAGTGACTTGTATTTTGGATCAACCTAGGGGCCATCTGGAAGATTCACACCTTTAGAACCAAAGTTTTAGAATATTTAAAATCTTGCATGACCATAATCATTCTGGGGATTAAGATTCAGCTTACTATCTCAGCTATTAAAAAAGGATAATTTTATATGTGTAGAAGTTGCACAATAAAAGGAATTGATCATGTTTCCAATTGGTTTTGAGTAATATAATCTAAAAGGTGTGTTCAGTTGTGACATCGTTAATAGATTAAAGTGGCTGCAGGTGAATAATTACAGATCAGTGAATGTGACAAGGACAGGATCATGATGGTGTGGTATTTCATTGTAGATAGGTCACATCTTTTAAGAATGGCACAGAACTACCAGTTGGTGCACTTTAAATCATGGGTACTTTAGTGCAAAGAAAGACCTTTCATTGAATGGTTACATAAGTAGGACAGTGGATGGAAAATTGCCATGTTGTTGGATAATTACATGTCAGTTCCCCATCTGATGGGCATGTAATTGTATATTCTGAGACTGAAAATAGAGTACAGTCTTTGAAACACGGCTAGATCTAGAATCTCAAATCACATTGTCAAATCAAACATGCAATGATAATCAGGGGAAGCAGAGAAGATAGCAATAATTCTTCACATAGATTTGGCAATAGATTTGACCAAGATACTTTCACTGCTGCCTGTGATGATGAATGGTCAAATATTACACCATTAACATTGGCAGGAACTGGTTTGGAATAGAAGGATTCTAGCTTCGTGACATAAGAAGCCAGCATGAAGCTCCAAAGAAAGGTTCCTTCAAAAACAAAAGGGATTTCATGGATTATATTAGCCATCAATATGGATAACCATGTTTTGGAAAGCATTGGAAATGGAAAATTTGAACAAAATTAAGACAATGTAATAGATGGTGAAACAACAGAATGTGATATTTAAACTACAATGTTTGTTGTTGCAAACCTGTCTGATCTGTTCGTTATCAAGTGTAAAATATGAATACAACAAGAATTTGTAAAGATACCCCAGAAACCAAAATGTGAATACCACAGGCAAAATTTTCCGAGATTTTGTGCTACTAGGAAACCATTACATGAGGTATATGACTTGTGGAACAATTGCTTGTCTTTGTTATGAATTTCAGATTGTTATATTGTTATTTTTTTCATATTGCCTTCTTTTATTTCAGAAATTGGTTGAATGCCCTATGAATTTGAACTTGCACCAGACCAGCATCCATAATGCTATCCTGTCATATTGCTGGTTTCTTCAGTAAAAAATAAAATGAAGATGTTGAACTTGCTGAACAAATTCTCATTTATCTGTCTGTGGACAAAAAAATCATCTAATGTTTCAGATGTCCATGTGCAATCCAAAGTTTTAAAAATGTTGGTCAGTACAGTGCCTATACTGAAAGTTAACTGCAGTTTTCCTGCATTAGATGATATTGCTTTGCAGCTCATTCCCTGTTGTGGCTGTGCCTGTGACTGTAAGCACCACGTGAGTGTTATACTCGTGTGTGCAGCCAATCCATTATTGTTGCCATCAGATCAGTGTTTTCTTTGGCTTCTTCATGAGATATCGGATGGAATGATTGAAAGCAACCCGAAGCTACAGCTATCTGGCAACAAAACAAATCTAACACTGCTTTAGTTCCTGAAATATGAAAAACTGGCTGGTTTCTAAAGCCTGAGATTAATGTGTGGCATATGCAGTGTGTGAAAACAGGAACTTTTCAAATTCCACTCTTAATTATTATTCATGAACATATTTCAATTGAGAGTGAAAGTGCAGTTTGTGAGGCACCAGAATACTGGCATGGTATCCTTTTTTCAGTGCAATGCATCTACCACCCACATAATGTAGTTGTCAGAAGTAACATTTGCTGTTAGAAATTTCAAAGTGTACACCATCAATATGAATGGTACATTTGCACTGGGACAGTAGTAGAAACGTAATGACCCTACTGCTGGCCCTTATTGTGTGCTGGTAAAAGTTGATTTATACATACTGAAATCAGATTTGTTTGCAGCGTGTTGCTAACTATGATGTTTTAAATTATCAGAAACATGTTTCAACACTAATCCGGTAACGAAAAAAGTCATCATATGCAGATCAGTGTCTTTATGCGCACAAACATTCGATGAATCTGAGGGTTCTAGTGCATCTGGACAACAATTGCGTTACCTGGAATTTTCAGAACGGCCTCATGGCGCAGCAGCAATGACTAAAAGTGCTGTTGCTTGTATTCCAAAAGTAGAGGATGGAGAAATCTATATAACACCTGCATTTTAAGAGGGAGAAATTTAAATAAAACAATTGTGTTGCTTTAAAACACCTAATATTTGGCAAGGATATTTAGAGACCAAATATCATCGTAGTTGTACTGAAAATCAATCTTCCATCAGGATCAACAATCAAACATTGGTTTATCGGATTACCAAATGTCCACCAGTGCCATTGACGCCGTTAGTGACAGGTGGGCACTACAGGAGTTTAAGTACGGACTGGACGTAATAGTTCAGCTCCTTAATAGTGTGCCACTCTATTGTTTACTTATTGGTTTTATTTGAGCAAAGACACGGTTATGAGGTGAGTTTATGGAAACTACCGGTTTGAATGGATGTCCTTCAGTTCTGAGCACAGTCACGAGTGTGCGCCACGACCTGGGCAAGTTCCACGCCTCGTGCGGATGACGGTTGGTCCCTAACGGTCGTTCGGTCGGTACTGGAGACCTTTCTTCCGGCCTGTCTCGGAACCAGTTTAACTTCCCGTAGTGCTGTCAGATTCCACTCATCGGATATGAGCCTTGACCATTTATTCGAAGAAATCCTTGTAACCGAACAGAAAGCTTTGGAGAAGAGACAGTTTCTTCATGGTGGTAAGTAAAGCTTCACCAATGTATGAATCAGCCCCGCTCGCTCGTCCATCGCGTTGTAAGGAGTTCCGAAATTCACATTTAGGGCTGCTGAGGGGCCTGAACCCAGTTTCCACGGCCTCAGGGTTGACGAGCTAGAAAGACACCTGTTTCGTGTGAACATTTAAATTTGCAAAGAAAAAATTGTCTACAAGCTCATAAAGCGGCGTTTAAATATCGGTCCATTCTTATAAAGGCCTTTGCAGGTAACATCTGAGTGATCTTAAAGGGAAATGGTAACTTTCTCCATTCACAGTGACTCTAGTGGGAATCGAGGGACTTTAATTTCATTTTTTTGCGGCTCGTTTAACATGTCCTGGAGCTGTGCTCCGCCAGTAATTGGGGTCATAAGTTGGACTATTCAATCTTGCCTCTCTTTCCTTGAAAAATTTATAAAGGAAAACACCTTTGACTGCAAGACCATCAGGAAATTGTCAGCACGTAGCGTCATTGAGACTCTGAGGGGAAAGAAGAGCGTGGATCCTGTGGCGTAGTTCCTTGAGCAGACTGTCAGAGTCATTTGGAAGAATGCCTCATCACCAGAACTTTCCAACAAGTACCAAAACAGTGCTTGGCTGGTGGTGAGAAGGGTAGTACTTGTGACATCCTTCATGCATGTCTGGTAAGCCTGCGCCACCGCACGCTGCCCTCAAAGTGGCTGTGGAGGAGTTGAGACTGTCACACATCTCATTCTGGAATGTGCTTCTGCAAATGAAGTCTGGAGAAAGGTGCAGTGGTTTTTGTCGAGGTTTGTCCCGAGCAGCTCCGTGACATGGGACTCTGTGCTGTACGGTCTGTTCTCCTAGATGCACACCAAGACAAACATCAGTTGCACCTGGAGGACCATCAACTTGGTGAAAGACTCTCTTTGGTCTGCCCAAACCTTGTTGGCCTTCCAGAAAAGGAGTTGACCCTGACCGAGTGTGGCAGACTGGTACAGTCCAGGACTATGTGCTGAGGGGCGCACTAAAGCTTGAGGCAGCTGCTGCCAAGGCACAGTGGGGAAAGACCACTGTCTGAGGTCTTCTTGCTAAAAGTAAATGGGGGTCTGTTCGGTTATCAGACCCTCCTTGTGATGTCAAATATATGTGAATATTAGTATTGTATGTGTAAGAGAGGTCTTTAGTTTGTGTATAGTCAGTCTCCAACATTTGTGTGTTTACTTTTTATGCAAATGTGCAGAACAGAACCACTTTTGTGTCTATATATATACATAAAAGATTTTTATGAATAAAATATATTTTTGAAATAAATAAAATTAAAAATAGTGCCCTGAAAGGAATTCTCCCATGTCCTAGTCCCCGGCCCACATACCAGGCGTTGTTATCACATAGCCTGCCGTTACACACTACCTATTGTTAGTCACTAACAGTCCCCATTAACAGCTATTGACCCTCCTAGCCAGATCGTCATCAACTTCTTTGTCTATCCAGCTGCTCTTCTCTCTCTTCGGGCTCTATCCCATTGTTTACTCCTTCCCCATTTTCTGCATATAACCCAATGTTTTCCTAGCTACCATCAGTTCTGAGGGAGGGTCACCAGACCCGAAACGTTAACGCTGATCTTTTCTTCACAGATGCTGCCAGACCTGCTGGGCTTTTCTGGCAACTTCTGTTTTTGTTACTCAAAGTGTAATCCTTGGCTCTGGACTCCCTGGTCATCGAAAGCATTCTTCCTGTATTTATCCCTCAAGGACTTTATAGGTTTCACTGAGGTCCCCCTTGATTCTTCTGAACTCCAGTAAAGATAGTCCTACTTGATCCAATCTTGCAGGGGAGGCAATAGCCTAGTGGTATTATTGCTGGACTGTTAATCCAGAGACCCAGTCAGTGTTCTGGGAACACAGGTTTGAATCCGGCCACAGCAGATGGTGGAATTTGAATTCAATAAATATCTGGAATTAAGAATCTAATGATGACCATGAATCCATTGTTGATTGTTGGGGGAAAAACCCATCTGGCTCACTAATGTCCATTAGGGAAGGAAACTGCCATTTTACCTGGTCTGGCCTATATGTGACTCTAGACCCACAGCAACGTGGTTGATTCTTAACTTCCCGATGGGCAATAAATGCTGGCTGGTTAGCAACACCCTCAGCCTGTGAATTTTTTTTTTCTTTATTTGCTCACTGGATGAGGGCAGAAAATGGCTATTCGATCCCTTGAACCAGGGTGTTTGACTCAATCAGAAATCAGCCAATTGAGGGTCTGATTGGATGTGAAATTGCAGAAGCTGTGAGGAGTGGCTTACTAGTTGACCAATGGCATAAAGACTGGGATGGCAGTGGGGGAAGGGCAGGGCAGAATTGTTGCTGTCGATGAACACAGGAGGAAGCTAATTCAGCCTATCAAGCCTGCTCCATCAATCAATTCACTGGCTACTTGTCTACTTTCGTGCCTTTTTTCCACATTATCCCCATGCCGCCTTGCAGTAAAATCTATTAATCTCTACTCAAAATGTACTCCATAACTAAGCTTCTGCAGCCCTCTGGAGTAAATAATAAAATGCTCCTCCTTTGGATCTAAAATTTTACTTTTTTGCAATCTTGATCTCTGGTTCTCTGTATGGTCTCACCAGGCTCTAAGTCTTTTGGAGTGTTTTTCATAAGACTGACTGACTGACTGGATAGGGAGCAGGGGAATCTTGTGTCAGACATTAATACCAGTAGCTAGGTTGATTGGCCTGATTCTGTGCTTTTACTCCATGGTTAAAATGATTCATCTGCTCTTAGTGATGCAGGGTGGCTGAGGTGGTAGTTACAATATTTAAGAGACATGAATGGGAAAGGTGTTTCTGTGCTGACTGATTCCATGCCTCTATCTGCTCTGGTAGTAGTCTGAGAAACATTTAAAATCCACTTGAAATTTAGGATGCCACTGCTACCCCTTGTCCACATTTGACCAGGGATAGATCAGGGATCAAAGCTGAGAATTTGGTGAGGTTAATTTGTACACTGGGCAACTGAGGTTAGCACATAAGGTTAATTTGTACATTGGGCAATTCCTGAAGAGAACCTTTTGTGTTAATCTTGGCCAACATCCCTCATCTCAAACCTTTCATAGATGTCCTGGCTACTTTGCGGTCTCCATCTTTGAAGGATGTACTTGCTTTGGAGGCAGTTCAAAGAGGGTTGACTTGGCTGGGGCGAAGGTGTTTGTCTTGTGCTTCAAACCTCCATCTCCACTATGGCCAGGCCACTGGTGATATGTCCTCGGCCTTGGGTTCCACCCCACACCAGGTCTTCTCAGTTGCTCCTACTCGGAGACCAGTCTGTCCCCTGCCCTCACGGGAGGCGGGTGGGGTGTAGATGTAAACAGGATGCCCAGTGGCTGCTGCTAGAGACCAGGGTTTCCTGGAGCACAACCTCAATGAATTCCTGCCAAAGCAATAACAGGAAACAGTTAACGAACAGACTCTGAGCTAATGAATGCTCTGTGTTAAGGAAGGTTCTGGACTTTTTGGAAAACTGAGAGGCCAAGTTTTGTGATAGGCATAATAGAAGGCTGTTGCGTAAGCCATTGTGATGCCTCCAGAGTTGTCGCTTCAAGACTGGTCAAAAGGCCATAGATCTGGCATCATTTGCAAAAATACAACTGCCTGTGAACCCTCTGGGTGCCTGTGTTTCCAAAGTGAGAACAACAGATTTGCGACAGAGACTGTACCACTAAGCCCCAGAATTGACCCAGGCTTTTATTAACACAAGGGCATCTAGGTTGCTGCTTTATATTTGAAGGTGGGAGTGGGTTTGGGGTGCTTTTCCAAAGTCTTGGTGTATTATCCAGTAAGCGGTTTCTATATAGGTCTCAGGATGAACTTTATATTGGAACACAAGAATTAGGAGCGGGAGTGGGCAATTCAGCCCTTCAAGCCCCCTCTGCCATTTAATATGATCATGGCTGATCTTCTATTGGTCACAACTCCACTCCCCTGCCTGCTCCCCATAGCCCTTTATTCCACCTTTCATCAGAAACATTTTTTGTCAAGGACATTGTTAAATTAAGAAGGCAGCAGAAAATATTTACAAGGATGTTGCTGTGATTGGAGGGTTTGAATTATAAGGAGAGGCTGGGTAAGCTGGGACTATTTTCCCTGGAGCTTCAGAGGCTGAGGGGTTACCTTTATAGGGCTTTATAAAATCAAAAGGGGCATTTATAAGGTGAATAGCCCAGGTCTTTTCCCCAGGGTAGGAGAGTCCAAAACTAGAGGGCGCAACTACTTCATGCACAACATGGTATGTATATGGAACGAGCTGTCAGAAGAAGTGGTAGAGGCGGCTTTAATTACAATATTTAAAAGACATTTGGACAGGTACATGGATAGGAAAAGTTTAGATGGATTTGGATGAAATAGTAAATAGGACTAGTTAAGTTTGGGATACCTGGTTGGCATGGACGAGTTGGACCGAAGAGTCATACAGCACAGAAACAGACTCTATGATTTTTAAGTCTGAGGATACAGTGTAAACCATTTAAGACTGAGATGAGAAATTTCTTCACCCAGAGAGCGGTGAGCCTGTAGAATTTGCTACCACAGAAAGCAGTAGAGGCCAAAACATTGTATGATTTCAAAAAGGAATTGGATATAGTACTTGGGACTAAATGAGTCAAAAGATATGGGACAAACCAGGAATAGGCTATTGAGTTGGATGGTTAGCCATGATCATAATGAATAGTCAAGCAGACTTGAATGACCTACTCCTGCTCCTGGGTTTCTGTGAAGGCCAACATACCATTTTCCCTTTTACACCCTCTGCTTCACTTAAAAGCTTTAAACGACTAGTGTACAAGGACACCTAGGTCTCGTGACACCTCTCTTTTCCCAATCTATCACCATTCAGACAATAATCTGCCTTTCTGCTTTTGCTGCCAAAGTGGATAACCTCACACTTAACCACATTATTAAGTGGCATCTGTCATGCATTTGCCTGCTCATTCAACTTGTCCAAATCACACTGAAGCATCTCT